CCCCAAAACCCCAAAACCCCAAAACCCCAAAACCCCTTTAAGTTTCAGCAAATTGAGTTTAGATAATTTAAATATTAGTTTCGCACAAAAATGCCCGCAGAAGAAGGAAAGAATTCAAAAGATTACAGGTTCCAAATTAGGTCACTAGTGGTAAATTTTGACTAATACTACCTCTAATTTAGCTAAATAACTTCAAATCTTTCAAGGGAAGTCATTATATTGGCCCTTTTACTGAAAAATATACTGCAATTGTTGGACCAAATGGAGGAGGTAAGTCCGCAATCTCTAGCACATCTAATAAAGTTTAGGAAAATCCAGCGTTGTTGATGCAATAATGTTTGCCCTTGGTGCATCAGGCCCTCTCTATGATTACAAGGTCCTCGTACATAAATCTGACGGAGAGAGGCATGACCAAGTACATCGAGACATGGAAGTCACTTTAGAAATCTATGATGCTACTGAAAGAAAGCCAATTATGATAAAAAGAGGCATCAGTAAGTTACCTAGAAATTATATCATTTAGGATCCTCAGGACACATTGAGTTCTCAGTAGATGGTGACTCAGTCTCGAGAAAAGAGTTCCAGCAGTTTGTTCATAAGACTTTGAATATCCCTCTCCACTGTATCGAGTCAATATTATAAGCCAGCAAGGACGACTAGAAACTACTCCTATCATTCGTGGTGGAATGGAGCTCACCAAGTACCTTGAGAAGATCTCTGGCTCCTACGAGTACAAGAGGGAGTACGAGGAAGTTGAAGAGAAGACAAACAACACAAAGCAAGCCACCTTCGAAATATCCAAAAGGCTTTATGATATTCGCAAGCAACGCAATAAGCTTAAGCAGATTGAGAGTTACGGTATGTTCAACCTTTTCTAACTAGTTTAGTAAATGTTAAGGAATCCACAGCTGTGATTGAGGAAAGAGAAACTGTTGCTGAACAAATTGAGGACTGAGAGTTACTATTAACTCACAAAGAAATCAAAGGGCTAAAAGATGAGCTTTCAGTCATCGACAAGTCTATGAATGATTCAGTAGAGCACAAGGATGGACAACAGAGCTCAAAAATAATCACTGCTATCAGGAAGATGCTACTTGACAAGATCACCACCTCCAAGAACATGAGGATTCTTGAAGACAAGTATAGAGAAATTGAGAACAAGGCCACTTCTTTCCAGACTGAACTAGAGGCCAAAATCAGTAAGATCAAGCACAACACCTTGAAGCTTAAAGCCATTGATGGTTTGATCGAGAAGCACAATGCCATTATCAAGAGAAACAAGGAGAACAAGAGAGAACTCGATACCAAAATTGAGAAGCTGAAGTCAAGCCTCATAGAGATCGAGAAGAAAGAGGAAGAAATGTTCAAAACTGAGGTTGGCAAGAAAGATAAGAAGCTCAAGTCCAAATATTTTGAGATTAAGGGCCAAGTTCAAGAGAAGACCGCTCAAATGCAGTTTGACATCTCAGCTGAAGCTAGGATGCTTGAAAGGATCAACATGATCATCATGATGAAGAACTCTAAATGTGAGGACATGAAGAGGAAAATCCAGGAAATAGACTTCAAACTCAACAATACTGTAGAGAACCAGAGGGAAGAATACAAGGCTATTGAGAAGTTAAAAGGTGATCTCACAGAACTTACTATTAGCGTCAACCAGGATAAAAATACTAAGGACGAACAAGCCACTGCTCTGATGAATCTAGAGAAGCAGAGTTTAATCCTGAAAGGAGAAGTCTTGACATTTGAGGAAGAAAAGCAGACTAGAAAAGAGGAAAGAAGGATTAAAGAAGCTCTCGAGCAGTTGAGAAAGGATGAAAAAGGCTATTATGGCTTCTTCTATGAACTCGTCAACCCAATCCAGAGCAAATATCAGATTGCAATCAAGGTAGCTCTTCAAAGTGCCTTAAGGCTACTTGTAGTGGATACAGTAGAAACTTCAAAAAGAGTTGATCAGTATCTTACTGAAAAGGGGCTTTATTTAGAGTGATTAATTCTGAACAGGATTCCTCAAGAAAATCAATTCAACAATATCCACTCTAAAAGAAGAAAACTTGAAGGAAGAGGACACATGATTGTTGATGTTGTAGACTGAGATAAGAACATCGAAGGCCTTGAGAATGCTCTCAAATACTTCTGTGGAGACAAGGTAGTCTGACTAGAGAACATGGGTGGGTGTACAGACGCCCTCAACCTCAGTCAAAAAGGGTTCAAAAGAGTCATCACTCTTGACGGAACCTCCCTCTCTAATGGAATGTTCAAAGGCGGACATCACTCGAATATCTTCGATAAGGACCTGGGTAAGCCCAAGCATGATAAGGAGCTGAAACTCAAAAAGGAAAAGTTAGCAGAGATCCTTGAGAAAATTCACAGAACTAAGGAAGAGAAGGGCAGCATTGAAGAGAGCATCATCTTGGGCACAAAAGAAATGATATCCAAGGAAACACAGATCAAAATTCTTGAAGAAGGTCTTGAGAGCCAAAGAAAAGTTGATACCGATAGAGAATTCAACGCAAAGAAGCTCAATGATGAACTTGAAGTTCTCACTGCTGAACTCAAGGAGAACATCGCTGAAAGAAAGGAGAGAATCAAAAGATTGAACTCTTTACAAAAGGATCTACACAAGATTGAGTCACAAGCATTTGCTGACTTCTGTGATCAAAATGGGTTCAAAGATATCGGTGAGTTTGAAGGTGTCAATATCAAAATTTTTGAGGAGAACTCTAGGCAAAAGCAGAGCTTACTCGAAAACATCAGTAAGATACAGCTCCAGATTGAGCAGCTTGGAATCGAACAGTCTAACCAAGCCAATGAGGTACTCTCAAAAGAGAAAGAAGAGATCAATAGAGCACTAGAGAAAGACCAGAATGAGAAAGATGAAATCGAGCAGAGAATGGGAGATATCAAGGAAAGTTTTGATGATACTCAGAAGGAACTTCAGGAGGGTAAAAAGGCCTTTGAGAATGAAGAACGGAATCTAGAGAAAGCCCAAAATGAGCTTGAGAGCGTCAAAAAGAGGACCCAAGAACTTTCCAAGATCTTTAATGAGACTAAGTATAAACTGAGATCTGCGTATTTCAAGTTCCTTAAGCAATTAGTCATTAAAGGATCTATCACAGATAAAAAGGCTGAGAGAGCTTTTAAGAAGGTTGAACTAGAGTCTTCAGTGAAATCATTCTTGAAGAGTATCGAAGAGCTCGACTATGAAATCTCTTCAGGAGTTAACATAGATTTCGACAGATCGAGTGAAAATGTAATAAAGACTAGGATTGCAGAGCTTAAAAAGGATCTCCAAGCCAAAGAAAAATCAATCGAAGATTATGAAAGGGTATCCATGCTTGCTCCAGAATGCAAGAGAGAACTTGGAGAACTCAAAGACAGAATCACAGAACTCAGATCTAAGAATGATGAGGAAGAGCAAGGAGGAAAAGAAAGCTTAGATAGACTTAGAGAGCTAAGAAACCTCAGAACAGTAACTTTGCAAGACATTATTTCCATGCTTGACAGAAGAGTTAGCCCTATTTATCAATACCTTACTAAAAAGAATGAGATGGTATTTGGAACATCTACAATTATGGTAGAAAACAAGCAGGATCCATTTAACGGATCAATCAACTTTATTGCCAATCCTCCTGGGAAAAGAAATGTCTATGATATCCAGCAGCTCTCTTCTGGTGAGAAGACAATGGCCTTACTCAGTTTCATTTTTGCCTTGATTAAGTACCAAGATCTTCCGTTCATAATTTTTGATGAGGCTGATGCTCACTTAGATGACAATCATATTGGAAGAGTTGTAGAATATATCAAGACAAGGCTTCAAAAGCAATGCATCTTTGTCAGCCACAAAAGCTTGACCATAGAGTCATCTGATTCTCTAATTGGTATTACTTTTGACATCAGCCAAAGAACTAGCCAAGCATTTAGTCTTGATCTAAGAGAATAAATAGAATCTTTCTCAGATAAACAGTTTTCAATCTAACTTTTCTTATAAGGGGTTTTGGGGTTTTGGGGTTTTGGGGTTTTGGGG